GCGGAGCAGGGGTGGGGGGCCAAACGTTGAATCAATTGAACAGAGTGACTTTTGGTTCTACTAAGATGGATAGACCCCCTTTGAAACCAGGTAATCGAAGCACCTACTAAAAATTGGCCAGTGGGGGGTTTTGGGCTTTGCTCCAGTTGAACGGGGTTCTCTTCTTGAGGCTTGATGCTAGGGAAACATCAGAGGGTGTTTTTGCCCTCGAATGAGCAGTTCAATCAGCTACGCAGCGCCTTGGATAATTTTTCTGACGGGGGGGCTGGTACAGGGCGGGGTGGGTGGGGGTAGTTGAGACCCCGTTGGTTCCTGGAAACCACCAATTCCCAAGAGTTGGTATGTTGCAGCCACGTTCATATCCCCTATTCAGAAGACAAACCCTCAGCTGAATGACAATAATAACCCAATCGGCTCCCAAAAGCTTCCTAAACAGGAAAGCGACAGCGTCTTCACCAGATCGACTCGCCTGCCCAAAGACGGAAACACCAGGCCCCCCTGATGGACCGAATCGCTTCGGGCAAAGTGAATTACAATTTTGTTAGATAATCGTTTGAGAGTGCGACTAGGGTCGCCATCCCCGAGAAAAACATGGGTTGGCAGGAGGGGCCCTTTGCGGATTTTTTCGTTTGCCACCTCCAGGTGGCCATTTGGAGCCAATGGCAGCAGCAACTTTTGAAGGAGGGCCCCATCCACACGCTCGCCGGCCTGCCAATGACCCGCCAGCTCCGCAACCGGATTTTGTTGTCCGTGCTGTCCCCCCTCATCATCAAAGGCATCGCTTTGGTCTCTCTGCAGGAAATAGGTCGGCCTTTTGAGTCCGAACTTTCACAGCTAAAGCCGGTGTTTCATGGTTTTCTATGTGCGTGCTTTGGAGGATGCTCCTTTTTTAGGTTGGTTGAAACAGAATCAACAAGAAACCAACCGTTTTTTGGGTTCCCTTCGTGTTTCTTGACCTGTTTGGTGTTCATGTGTTGGTCTGTTTTGGTTTTGGCCCCCTTTTCCGCAAGTCAGGTCTACGACAAGCGCCCATATGTTCTGAGATTCATAGGCCAGCACACGGGCAATGCCACCGACATGGGCAATGCCACTGGCTAACGTGCACGAGCGAAGCGGCAAGCCTGCAGCAAGGACAAACATGCGGCTTGCCAGATTGAGATCGGCTTGGTGCAATATGCAGGGAATGAGAAGTGGAATGACCCTTGTAAAATCCATCCAACAGGTGGTGTCCTTCAAGGGAATCCCAAAACGGTTCATTCCCTCATTCCGAATTCCCCTCAGCAAGTAAGGGCCAAGCTGAAAGAGAGGGAGCCGCTCTATTCATTCTTTACCAAGCCAAGTCTTGTTCGGCTTCTTTCATGCCAGGTGCTGGTGTTGACTGGGAGTTGTCAGAGCTTTTAAGGAAACTTGACAACGCTTGTCTTACTCCCCCTGAACATTCACATGTAGCACCCTCAAGCACTGTTTCCAAAAGGATGCTCCGCGAAAAAGGAATGTTGTTTCTGCGTTCCATGTTGATCAAAGGGCCGTAAGTGGCTGACTACCACTCCTACCGTCAAGCCGCCAGGCCTTGTTGCCCTGAAAAAAAGCGTAAGTATCAGCCCAAGAAGTTTTGGCCACACACATGGCTTCCGTGTTAGATCGTTCTTTTCGACTTCTGGGGGTCCAATTTGCATTGTCAGACTTAGCTTTCCTTTTATACCACTTTCCGGTTGCCAGCCGTCCGTCTCCTTAGGAGTTTAGGTGTTTTTTGTCGGTTTAGTGGTTGGGTTTCCGTATTTAACGCAGACGTTAGTCGCTTTTGGCAGGGGATCCGCTTGGTTTAAAAACAAAAACAAAAGCTAACACATTGCCGGCCAGACCCCTCAAACACTTAAGATGCTTTTCTTTATGGCAATTTGGTTGTGTCAAGATTCCTCTGTACATCTCAACAAAGATGCATCATGGGGCCTGGGAGGGAGGGAGGGAGGGAGGGAGGGAGGGGTGCTCCATGTCTTGAGACATTCCAGTGTAACCTATGGTTGATGGACAAAATCCTCGCTAATTTATCGGCATCAGCTGGTCGGTGGTTTGTCAACCTGAATTCAGGGCCAACTTGTGAGTATCAGCGCTTAAGATCGGGCTGTTCGGGAACCATCCCAAAGTATTGAGTTGATTTTTCAAGAAGGTCCCTAAGACGAAGCGTCCTGATATCCCAAACGCCCTCAAATTCAGAGATATTGCAGTTGCGCACACAAGTGTTTTGGTGGCGGCTCGGCTTCTTTGGCCAAGTTTTTTACTTGAGCTCGCCTGGTCAAGCAAGCGGTAAATTCCTTTCCGGGGTGCGAAATATACTGATAGGGTTACCTGGACCCTCGAACTACCAATAACAACGCTGGAATTCACCAACCATAAGTTTGCGATGGAAAGCAACATTGTTGAGTTGGCATTTTGAGGGAGGCAGATGGATTCATGTACGTCACTGGCAAATCTGCTAGGGTCGCCTGGCAGGTGAGTATCATTCAAGTCAAGTGAGTCGGCCGGGGAATCTGGAGACGCGGACCCAACACCTGAAGCCGGTCAAGGAAGTTGCTACCCACTTGCCCCTAAACCCTCAAGATTCCAGCGTAACAAATGGTTATTGCTCAAAATTAAGGGGTGATTCCCTTTTTTGGGGGGTAGTTTGAGGGTTCAGGTTCAACCCACATCAGGCCAGCAGGGAAAAAGCATGGCTATTTGCCAACCGACTGGGGTTGTCTCACTTATTTGCATGGTTACAGCCTCCTGACGTGGGTTGAACATGCAAGCAGTGCTCACTCACGTAGCCGGAGAGGGTTCCCTTTCAAGTTGAGTACCAAATCTGGGGAAGCAATTGGGCGATTGACATGGTTTGAGCGAGTGAAAATAGCTCAACCGTGGCCAAATTGCTGTCATGGTTTGGGGTGGACCGCTTCAATATCCGCCTTTGATTGTCAAAGGACAGCAAAGCAACATTTTTGCATCCAATCCAAATCACCATGTTTGGGAGGCAATCAACCAGAATTTGAGTGGTACAGAGCAAGGCAAAGCAAACATTGGCCAAGCCATTCCAGTTTGACCACTCCCTTGGGCCTGTGCCTGTCCTTTGCCTTCCAACTGCGAGATGAAACAAAGCCCAGGCCCTTCCAACTTGGGTTCTCTAAATATTGCGCCTATGGGTTTTGTGGGCTCGGAAGCTTCCAGCCTCCAAGAGAACAGTCAAGGGCGCCCGCCCACTTTCCGCGAGCGCGGACAATTCAGAACAAAGGGGGTGGGCGCTTGGATGTGTGTTTTTTTTTGCGGTCGCAGGTGGTTTCAGTGGTTGTTGCAAACGCGTCCCGTTTGAGTTATAGCTCCAGACCTAACCTGCGGAGCAGGTTCCTTGGTTTGGAAGGGGCAGACCACCGAAAACAGCGGTGCCGTTTTCTCCCCATGCACTGGGTCTCAGGCAAGCCACTACAGAAGGTACCAGGGCCATTTGTTCTACCCTTTTGCTCGGGTCAAACGGGAGCAACCCGATGTAAACCAAAGGTACCATTAGGGTTGCAGCTAGGGTTGGCCAGCGACATAAGTCCCCGTCCAAATAGATGGGTTCCAAAGCCAAACAGCAAATTGTCTACATCTAGATGGAATTTGGTGCTGAAAAATAGGGTTCTCTTGAGACATCAACATCCAAATATCTTGGTTTCTAGAAGCAAGATAGAGCCATTGCCCTCAACTTTGGGGCCGACGAACCCGTGTTGAGAACCCCGTCAGACATATCCTCATCGATTTTCTCTGAAGGTGTGGTGAAGCCTTTGCTTGCACCGTCATGTTTCTGGATTGGTGACTGTTCATCTTAACCCCAGTTCCTGAAACCAAGCCAAGGGGAAAGGTGATATGCTTTCAGTGGTTGGTAGCCCCAGGTTGGAAGGGTTGAAAAGGGGTTACGGCGATTCCTTTCAGACGGATTTGCACTGCAGATAGAGATTTTGTTGTTTGGCTTTGGATTACCTTATCTTGGGCTGCGCGAACCACAAAGGAACACAAAGACTGTTTTGTGCGTACGTTGGGAGACAGCCCAAAACAAGGCAATCCAAAGCCAAACAACAACAGCTCTATCTGGCAAACGCTGGCAGATGGAATTGTGTGCTCAAGATTTGGTTCTCTTGCGACATCAGCGAATCGATTAAACCGATGGAGAATAGGAGAACTGGAGAACCGGATCATTTCTGAGGGCCTTCCCCCAACCTTTCAACCCCAGTCAGGGACAACTGGCATCAGCCCAAGAAGTAGATTGGTTCCGATTTCCAAATGTTTGGGTCAACGTTTGGTACCAGAGACATGTTGGCCCTTGACTAAAATGATCTGGTGGTAGATTTATTGTGTGACAAGCAAGCTGATGGTAGCAAAGATTAAGCCCTAGGCTGCTGAACAATTACCAAGTCTTGACCAAGTCTTGACCAAGTCTTGACCAAGTCTTGACCAAGTCTTGACCAAGTCTTGACCAAGTCTTGACCAAGTCTTGACCAATCTGGCTGCCCAGTTCCAAAGGTATGCCCCTTGCTACTGGCTTGTTCAGACTGCCAGACGGATGGCTTCCCTTTTGCGGTGAGTCATTGCTGGCTTGTGTTTGGGGACGGATCGCAAGCTGGAATTGGCGTTTCTGTTTTTGTAGCTTGAATTTGGGAAGTGAGTCATTGTTCGCCGGCTTTGGGGAACATGAAGCAGGACATGCTTAAGCCTAAGGATCGCGCACGGATCGCCTCGGGAGGTTCTCACCTCTCCGCTTCGCAAGGAAAAGGCTCAAGTGAAGCCCATGGAAAGGAGACGAAGCGATTGCGTTGCACAGCCAGCGGGGCGTTTCAATCGCCCAAAAAAGGGAAAGGCCAGTGAGAGACGGAGTTCCTGGGGCATTTGAAGTCTTTGCTTCCCAGAAACTTTTGTATTTGCCGTGGGTATTTGCTTCCCAGTGTTCACATATTCACGGGGCTTCCCAGTGTTGACACGGTTGAAATCCCAGTGTTTTCTCCAGCGCCCCAGCGCGAGCGGACATTTTTGGCTTCTCCCGCCATGGAGCTGAGATAATGCACGGGGCGGCTTGGAATGAACAACACGACGTCGTATCTTTTCTGGCCCCCTTTTGAGGCGGAGCTTCCAACAGGGGTACTGCAAAAGACGTCATCTATCTTTTGACCCCTTTTCAGGTAAGCGTACTGCAAAAACACATCGGGTACTGCAATAAACACATCATTGTTTGGCCCCCTTTTCAGGTGGAGCTTCCAAAAGGGGTACTGCAAAAGACATCATCTATCTTTTGACCCCTTTTCAGGTAAGCGTACTGCAAAAACACATCGGGTACTGCAAAAAACGCATCATTGTTTGGCCCCCTTTGGAGGTGGAGCTTCCAAAAGGGGTGCTGCAAAAACACATCATCTATCTTTTGACCCCTTTTCAGGTAAGCGTACTGCAAAAACACATCGGGTACTGCAAAAACACATCATTGTTTGGCCCCCTTTTGAGGCGGAGCTTCCAACAGGGGTACTGCAAAAGACATCATCTATCTTTTGACCCCTTTTCAGGTAAGCGTACTGCCAAAACACATCGGGTACTGCAAAAAACACATCATTGTTTGGCCCCCTTTTCAGGTGGAGCTTCCAAAAGGGGTACTGCAAAAGACATCATCTATCTTTTGACCCCTTTTCAGGTAAGCGTACTGCAAAAACACATCGGGTACTGCAAAAAACACATCATTGTTTGGCCCTTTGGAGGTGGAGCTTCCAAAAGGGGTGCTGCAAAAACACATCATCTATCTTTTGACCCCTTTTCAGGTAAGCGTACTGCAAAAACACATCGGGTACTGCAAAAACACATCATTGTTTGGCCCCCTTTTGAGGCGGAGCTTTCAAAAGGGGTACTGCAAAAGACATCATCTATCTTTTGACCCCTTGTCAGGTAAGCGTACTGCAAAAACACATCGGGTACTGCAAAAAACACATCATTGTTTGCCCCCCTTTTCAGGTGGAGCTTCCAAAAGGGGTGCTGCAAAAACACATCAGACGAAGCTTTTCCTGCCTTTCGCAGGGTTTCCAGTAAGTTGATCCACGATTGGGTCTGTCATAAAAGTCTTTGGTCACTTTTTTTTTGGTGTTTTCTTTAATATGGAAACCAAAGGACAAGCGGAATTTGTTGGGGCCCCCCTAAAAAAGACATTTGAGGGGTACGTCCGGTGAACTCAGACCCAGTAAGGTGTCCTTCCTGCTTGCCTTGGTCGAAACAACTCCCAGGGCCCCGGTTTTTGTTTTTCCCCCTCCTGGTGGTTCAATCAAGCAACTACCAGGGCTTACCGGTTTTACCTGGTGATTCACTCAACTGACGGGACTCAGCCCCGTGCGTCGGGGCGGCTTCCGTCCTGAGGGATACCCCAGACTCCCCTCTGCGGCCTTCCCGCGGGCGAGCAACAGTCTGCCCGGTGGCTCAGTGGGCAAGCGATGCCCCCCCCTTTGTTGTGGGTTTCAAGGAAACACCAACAAGGAAAACATCGTTTTGTTGGGGTTGTGGGTTTCAAGGAAACACCAACAGGAGAACCATCGTTTTGTTGGGGTTGTGGGTTTCAAGGAAACACCAACAGGAGAACCATCGTTTTGTTGGGGATGTGGGTTTAAAGGAAACACCAACAGGAGAACCATCGTTTTGTTGGTGTTGTGGGTTTCAAGGAAACACCAACAGGAGAACCAGGTGTTGTGGGTTTCAAGGAAACACCAACAGGAGAGCCATCGTTTTGTTGGTGTTGTGAGTTTCAAGGAAACACCAACAGGAGAACCATCGTTTTGTTGTTGTTGTGAGTTTCAAGGAACCACCAACAGGAGAACCATCGTTTTGTTGGTGTTGTGAGTTTCAAGGAACCACCAACAGGAGAACCATCGTTTTGTTGGTGTTGTGAGTTTCAAGGAAACACCAACAGGAGAACCATCGTTTTGTTGGTGTTGTGGGTTTCAAGGAAACACCAACAGGAGAACCATCGTTTTGTTGGTGTTGTTTCAAGGAAACACCAACAGGAGAACCATCGTTTTGTTGGTGTTGTGGGTTGCAAGGAAACACCAACAGGAGAACCATCGTTTTGTTGGTGTTGTGAGTTTCAAGGAAACACCGACAGGAGAACCATCGTTTTGTTGGTGTTGCGGGTTTAAAGGAGAAACCGACAGGAGAACCATCGTTTTGTTGGTGTTGTGGGTTTCAAGGAGAAGCCAACAAGGAAACCAACGTTTTGTTGTTGTTGTGGGTTTCCAGGCAAAACCAACAGGAGAACCATTGTTTTGTTGGTGTTGTGGGTTTCAAGGAAACACCAACAGGAGAACCATCGTTTTGTTGGTGTTGTGAGTTTCAAGGAAACCACCAACAGGAGAACCATCGTTTTGTTGGTGTTGTGGGTTTCAAGGAAACACCAACAGGAGAACCATCGTTTTGTTGGTTGTTGTTTCAAGGAAACACCAACAGGAGAACCATCGTTTTGTTGGTGTTGTGGGTTGCAAGGAAACACCAACAGGAGAACCATCGTTTTGTTGGTGTTGTGAGTTTCAAGGAAACACCGACAGGAGAACCATCGTTTTGTTGGTGTTGCGGGTTTAAAGGAGAAACCGACAGGAGAACCATCGTTTTGTTGGTGTTGTGGGTTTCAAGGAGAAGCCAACAAGGAAAGTTTTTTGTTGTTGTTGTGGGTTTCCAGGCAAAACCAACAGGAGAACCATTGTTTTGTTGGTGTTGTGGGTTTCAAGGAAACACCAACAGGAGAAAGTTTTGTTGGTGTTGTGAGTTTCAAGGAAACACCAACAGGAGAACCATCGTTTTGTTGGTGTTGTGGGTTTAAAGGAGAGACCGACAGGAGAACCATCGTTTTGTTGGCGTTGTGGGTGTCAAGGAGAAACCAACAAGGAAACCAACGTTTTGTTGGTGTTGTGAGTTTCAAGGAAACACCAACAGGAGAACCATCGTTTTGTTGGCGTTGTGGGTTTCAAGGAAACACCAACAGGAGAACCATCGTTTTGTTGGTGTTGTGAGGTTTCAAGGAGAGACCGACAGGAGAACCATCGTTTTGTTGGCGTTGTGGTTTCAAGGAGAAACCAACAAGGAAACCAACGTTTTGTTGGTGTTGTGAGTTTCAAGGAAACACCAACAGGAGAACCATCGTTTTGTTGTTGTTGTGAGTTTCAAGGAACCACCAACAGGAGAACCATCGTTTTGTTGGTGTTGTGGGTTTCAAGGAAACACCAACAGGAGAACCATCGTTTTGTTGGCGTTGTGGGTTTCAAGGAGAAACCACCAAGGAAACCAACGTTTTGTTGTTGTTGTGGGTTTCCAGGCAAAACCAACAGGAGAACCATCGTTTTGTTGGTGTTGTGGGTTTCAAGGAGAAACCAACAGGAGAACCATCGTTTTGTTGGTGTTGTGGGCTTCAAGGAGAAACCTTGTTGTTGTTGTGGGTTTCCAGGCAAAACCAACAGGAGAACCATCGTTTTGTTGGTGTTGTGGGTTTCAAGGAGAAACCAACAGGAGAACCATCGTTTTGTTGGTGTTGTGGGTTTCAAGGAGAAACCAACCAGGAAACCAACGTTTTGTTGTTGTTGTGGGTTTCCAGGCAAAACCAACAGGAGAACCACCGTTTGTTGTTGTTTATATATATATATATATATGCAACCCCCCCCCATGGACCCTGGTTTTACTGCCTTTGGGGATGGCAAATCTAGAATTTCCAATTTTTGTTTCTCGAAATTTCCAATTGTGAGTCCCCAAAGCGTAATTTGGAGCCCGGAGTCCTCCACAATGTCCCAGTATGATACCCTTTCCAAATAAGATGTTACTTCAACTAGAATTGGAATTTGAATATAGTTTAGTATGGATATAGTTTTCAAAAATGTGTTTATGTTCAATTACAGCTTAAACAAGCAAATCCTTTCCAAATAGCAGCTACATGAAAATGTAAATATATTATATATATATATATTTGTTTTCGGCTAAACTCCAACTAATCTACGGCTGAGCGTTATGTTAAGAAATGTTGTATTCTTAGGCAGGGGCTCGGGAATTTCTTACGGAGGGTCCTCGGTAAGAAATCTATATTTTGTTCAGGGTCTAGATTTAAGAAACGGGCGCCCGTGAAGTGCCTGCGCCGGGCTGCTGCGGCTGCGGCACAAGCTCTTCACGGCCACGCAGGCCGGGCAGACGGGACGCGCTCGTCGCAGCCACGAGGTTTCAGCTCCCACCTGAATCTGGGCCCGTTGGACCCCTCAAACCCCTCCGCTCTTTCCAGATAGTTCCTGAGCGCTTACGGTCATGCTGTGTGATAAGAAATCCCTTTTCACTGTCGAGAGTCTCGCAAATTTCCAAACCCTGCGGTGGAATGAAGAAATGTGAGGTTTTTCTGAGACTCTGGGAGGTAAATTTTGTGGGGGTCTTAGCTTCGTATTGCAGATTTAGAGGGAACCACTTATAGTAGCCAAAAAACGAGGTCTGAGCCCAGTCTGAAACCAGTCTGAAATCAGTTAATTGGGGGGCGTGGGGGAGGGTGGTCATCCGGCCAATTGTTGTGCTTCTGCCATAGTGGTTGGCCACAGTGTGTTTCTGTATGCGTGTGTGTCTGGGACAGAGAAGCTGTGTGGCCTACATGCAGTTTTTTGGCTGAGTGATCCCAGAGAGCTAAAGGCATTCCTCTTTCGCATGGCAGTGTTGCGGTGTGCTGCCAGCTCAAGTTTCAGATGATCCAGACCACGCTCTTCGGTGGCCGATCTGCGTGCGCGCAGCCCTGGCAGTGCGATCTTTGCAGAGGTGGTTTCAAGTCAGAGCAGGCCTTGATCAGCCATGCCTGGTGGAAGCACGGGGTTCGCAAGGAGCCTGCGCGCGCGCTGCCACAGCGCCCCGGCGCGCTGATCCAGAGCTTCTTTGCAGAAGAAGTGCAAGAGCAAGACTTGCCCGAGCAGTTCGAACACTTGATTTCCTTCGAGCATGCTGAAGAAGCCAATCTGCCTGAGCTTCTTGAAGAGGAGGCGGCGGAGGAGGATGAGCCGCTGGAGACACCGAAGAAGCGCACCAAGACGGGCGCCATCAAGCAGACGCGTGGCGCAAACAGGACTTAGTGGGAGCGATTTGGCGAGCCTTGTTTGTTCAAGTTCGTTGCAGTCCCTGCTGATTGCCCTGCCCTGAGGAGACAGCGCGTTTCAGCCAAGCAGCAAGTGCATGCAGTCGACACCTGGCGGGCTTGCAAGCTGAGCGGCACGCCACCCAAAGACAAGAAGGGAAATGCCACTGGCACACAGTATTCGTACAACACTGTGTACGGGTGGTCTCGCAACTACGACAAGCTGGTCGAGCAGGCTGCCAAGGGAACTGCGACCAAGTTGGCTCGAACCCGTAGGGGCTGGTTCAGGCAGAACCCCTTGGTGCAGGAATTTGACCAGCACCTTTGCAGAGCTCTGAAAAAGCATCGCAAAGCTGGCCGCCCAGCGAATTCCGTCACTGTTCTCGCCATGGCTGAGAGCATATACGACAAGGTGGACAAGACAAGAGAAGGAAGGAACCTGCAGTGGCCGCGGAACAGGCGCGGGAAATTGTGGTTGAGCAGCCTTGTCTTGGCTGAAGGGAATCCAGTCATGCATGGCTAGCGCATGGTCCAACTAATTCCATTATGTTTGTTGCTCTCTTGCAACTATGTTTGGTCCATTGGCCCCGCTGAACATGCTAGGGTTGTATTGGGGCTGGAAGACATTTTGGCTGCCAGGAGGGGCGGTGAAGTGTGGAGGCCCAAGATGACCTGGGTTAAGTCCTGGCTGCAGGTCCGTGGCTGGAAGCCGCGAAAGCCGACGAAGAAGAGAGGCTCAACGCCCGCACAGGACAGTGCCCTCATGCAGCGCTGGCTGGACAAGCTGCGGCACATGGCTCAGAAGCAGCCTAGCTGCGGTGACAACACCTGGTCAGACGCATGGGGGTTCTTTTCGCCTGGGGAGCGGTTCAACAGAGACCAAGTCGGGTTCAGTTTTGACTACACTGCGGCAGGGCGCACGTGGGCCAGCCCTGAGGAGCGGACCACCGGCTGCGTTCAAGTTGTGACCGGCAAGGCCGGATGGGAGAAGAGGTTTTTCACATGGGACATGTGCTACGCGGGAGATTTGAAGCAGGCGCAGCCGCCCCCGGTGCTTTATTTCTTCGGAGCCGGCAACATTTCACAGCTTGAGCGGGCCTCTTACGACAAGGATGTGAAAGTCTTCTTCACGCCAAAGGGCTATCTCAATGAAGATGCAAACCAGTTTTGGACGCAGTGCTGGAAGGAGCATGTTTCAGCCAACCACGCGGGCAAAGCGGTACTGCTGACTTGCGACAATGTTGCCGCACACTGCACCCACACATGGCGGGAGGAGATGGCCAAAATCGGCACTACGGTCTTACATGGGGAGCCCAACGGGACGCATTGTTGGCA